TTTGAAAATTTCTCTAAATTTGTCTAACTACGTGAACGTTCTGAATTTTTAACGACTGATCCACTGAACCCTCATCTATAAATTCCTAAAATTCTTGTATAGGATCAACCGGGCTTTCTGAGCTGCGAATGTTTATTTAGTCACTAGCCCAGTTGGGATTCTTTTCAAAATTGCAAAAAGTGAAAATTTTTAGAAATTTAACAAGCGGCGGGAACATACTGAATTTTTCGACACTGATCCAATGAACTTTATTCTGCAAATTCCCAGAATTCGAATGCATATCAAACAGTATTTCTGAGTTGAAAATTTTTAAACACAAACGCGCACAATTGCGACGTTTTCTTGAATTGCAAAAAGTTTGAAAATTTCTCTAAATTTGTCTAACTGCGCGTACGTTCTGAATTTTTTAACACTGATCCACTGAACTCTCTTCTATAAACTCCGAAAACTGCAGTATGCAAAGGAATTTCTGAGCTACGGATTTTTATTTACCCACGAGCACAGTTGGAATTCTTTTCAGAATTGCAAAAAGTTTGAAAATTTCTGGAAATTTTACAAGCAGCGGGAAGCTACTGAATTTTACGGCACTGATCCAATGAACTTTCTTCTACAAACGCCCAGAATTCGCATGAAGATCAGGACGTATTTCTGAGTTAGTTGAAACTTTTTAGACACAAACGCGCACATTTAAGCTGTTTCCCTGAACAGCGAAAAGTTTGAAAATTTCTATAACGTTAACTAGCCGGGTGAATTCGTCCAATTTTTCCACACATATCAACTAAGTCTTCTTCTAAACACTGCAAAATTTCCTGTTTAGAACAACTCAGAATTTAGGAGTTGCGAATTTTTATCCGGGGGAGTTTCTTAGATCATCAACTCCTCAAAGCCGGAAAAAACAGCAACTAAACCAACTCGATTGAAAATATTAAAAAATGCCAACAAAACCCACCAGACAGGAACGCAGCTATTAAAATAATTGCGATTGTGATTACCTTAATAAAGTCGACAATAGAATCAAAATAAAATTGGCTTTGTGATGGGTTTCGTTGCTTAATTACTACAAATGGCTTTTTCGCCGGTTTTCCACGATATCGGGGGTTACATTAATGGCTAAACCGACTAACCAATCGACTCAATTTCAGGCTTCCAGAAACATCAGTCTGGAAAATCATTAATAACCGTTTCGCCCGACAGCCAGCATCAACAGCAGCTCTAATTTGAATTGTTTGTCGTTAATGTTCGAACCGAAAATAATGAAAACAAATTCTGGGCCTCGAAATGCCTGTTGTTATTTTGTCTACATACAAAATATGTGTTCGGTTCAGCTGGTTTATTAGTCAAGTGGGATTTTCCTTGTTTCGCTATTTTTAATTGATTTTTTCCTGTTTAAACCCCCCGTGCGCTCACCATCTCCAAATAGCTTACTTATCCCGTTAGCTAAACACCGACAAAGTTTAATATAATGCTTTTAGGAATCATAGTGGAAGTTCAAGATGAAATTGCTTTTAAAATAAACTCGGGAACTTGCCAACTTTTCCAGATTAAATCATATTAAAGTTGTTAAAACTATGTCGAACGAGCAAATCGTAAAGACACGAATCTTTTTTAAAAACTTTTCAGGATTTCCGCCAAGCAAATGGCGAACGTTAGATCGAAAATTGTCGGAAAAGGAGGGCCCCCCGCACCGATTCAATGTATTTTTCCCGAAAACTTCAATTCGACCGTGTCTAATGGCTTTTACTAATCTGACTTTCTGAACTCCAGTTACGAGCAATTCAACTTTCCCACAGCGAACCGAAAACTAAACATTCTTTTGGCGGTGGTGCAATCTTGTTCCGATCATCAGTAGTTTATTCGCAACCATTCAAAGGCCAACAAGAGGAGACAATTTTTTAAACGGTTGTAAAAGCGCTGAAAAATGTTCTCTCAATTCACCGTAACGAATTTTTATCCCTCAATCGTCCATTGGATTTGCGAAGAGATACAAATCGTAGCAAATCCTTTGTGAAAAAGCGTAATCAGGAAACAGTAAAACAACCGTTTCCTGTTGGACTTTCCCCCAAACAAGCTCTTTTGAGCGCAACAAAGAACCCATTAGGACATTGTAGTAAATTTGATTGCCAACCGAAACAGTTTAATAAATAATCCCGACTGAATGTTAAATAGCCGGGGCCGAATCCCACATAAATCACTGGAATGTACTTGTATAGAGCAACTATTCGGAAACTTTCCCATACATCCAGGTGGCACAAAGCCGGTAATCGGGTTGTTTCAAAACTCTCTCCAGCACTCTATAATATCTTCAATTTTACCACCTTTGCCATGTTATATTCATAAATATCGCCGCTGGGTCCAACGTATAAATTTCGAGCAAAATAGCCGCTGAGATGACGGTAAAATGGAGCCAGTTATTCGGCTACCGCTCTAAACAAACTTCAAAGGCCGCAAAATTAATGTACATTTGAAAATCCTTGATGCCGGCACCTCAAATGAAACTTTAAACGGAACTTTCAGGTTTACATTTCGAATTAACTGCTGCCAGAATGGGCACTTTGCAGCCAGTGAAAATGCATCAAATAGTCCGAAACTACCATCTGGCCAATGATAGCGGTTTAATTGCATATTTAACTTGTTAATTTGACAAAGCTCTGTTAAAACAAATATTACCGGAGATTCACAGACGCGTTTTGCTCTAATTTTCAGGTTCAGCTAGCTGGTGAATTTTCGAGGAATTTTCAAACTTTTGGCAGTTCAGAGACGCAATCGAACCGTGCGCGTTTGTGTATGAAAATTCGTAACTGGGAAATTTGGGTTGATTTTATACATTGGAGTTCTTGGCGTTTGTAGGCGAAGATTCATTTGACTAGTATGGAAAATCTCAGAAGGTTTGCGCCGTTTGTTAAATTTGTGGACATTTTCAAACTTTTCAGAATTCAGCCAAACATCCCAACCGTGCCTGTTTGTCGATAAAAAATCGTGATTCAGAACTTCTGGTTTATACTAAAGGTAGAATTCGGCCAGTTCTAGCAGAAGGCTTAATGGATAGGTGTGGGCAAATTCAGTCGTTTGGCGCTGTTTTTCAAGTTTCTAGCAATTTTCAAACTTTTCACAAATAAAATATGTGTATGTGTATAAAAAGTCGCAACTGAGAAGTTTGGGTTGATCTTATACTGGCGTTCTGGGAGTTTATAGAAGAAAGGGCAGTGGAGTAGTGAGGAAGTTCAGTGAGTTCGCGCTGTTTCCCAAATTTCTGAAAATTTTGAAACTTTTTCGTCAAAAAAAACATCCTTACCGTGTGCGCTTGTGTGTAAAAATTCGTAACTCAGAAATTCCAGCTGATCTTATACTGAAGTTCCGACATTTTAAAGAAGAAAACTCAGTGGATCGGTGTGAAAAAATTCAGTAGATTCGGACTGTTTGTAAAATTTCTGGAAATTTTTACATTTTCCACAATTCAGAAAAACATCCCAACCGTGCCCAGTTAAATATTCCCTACAAAAGTTTATTGGGTTTTCGTTCTTCTTAGAGAATTTATTAAAGTGAAAAAACGTTGTTTTAAGAGTTTAAGAGAACGAATCCAAATACAAAACTCCAACTCAAATCAATTAAATGAAACACATTTTCCCATTCAGGAACGTAACAGGCATCGGTAGTCTCACTTGCACACATGGTGTTTACGGGAGATGCAGGATTGCCATGCGTTGCTGCGTTCCAACTTGGCACCACCAGCGCTTGAAACTGAATTCAAGAGTCACTTTACGAGGCTCAAATTACCAAAAGTACTGAACTTTATTTAGAACATATTGAACAGTTGATACGATTTTCGTAGTTTTGAGGCTTTTTTAAGAGTTCGCCGACAAAGCAAAAATTTAAAAAAAAATTCAATTTATGCTTCAAACTTTCATAATTTCGAGGAGGAATGAAATAATTGCGGCAATCCACCCGCATAAATTAACAATTCTTAACATGCTTAGTTGCCATTTTTTAGGGAAATTGAACCTCTAAAAAATTTCATGGATTTTCGATTTTATCAAGTAAAAAAGCGTTGTTTTAAGACTTCAAAAACACCAGACATGTATTTTGACAAACGAACTTAAAACAGGAAACTATTTAAGTGAAAAACAAAAAAATTTACAATTTCAGTTGCGGAGGCGTGAACACTTGAACTCAAATCAATTACATGAAACTCGTTTTCCCATTCCAGAACGTAGCAGGCATCGGTAGTCTTACTCGCACACATGCGAGTCTAAGGCAGATGCACGATTGCCATGCGTTGCTGCGTTCCAACTTGGCACCTCCAGCGCTTAAAATATTCCAGTTTTGAATGCCTGCTTTATTAGACTACAGTCAAGAGTCACTTTAGCTCAAGCTCAATATACCAAATGTAGAGAACTTTACTTAGAAGCGATTGAATAATTGATGATTTTCGGAGTTTTGAGGCCTTTTTAAGGTTCGCCGCCCAAGTGAAGATGCTAACTGTGCGCACTACCGAAAGCCAAAAATTTCCAATTGATGCTTCAAACATTCATAATTTTGGACAATTAAGAATGCGCAGCCATCCACCCGCATAAATGAACAGCCGTTAACATGCTAATGCGCTTCAAAACGCGCTTGATAAAATGGGCAAATATCCAGCCGAAACCAATTAAACGATGATCAGGGACGATTTTTCAAATAATCCCGTTGCTCAAGACGCCGACCATCATTTCTTCGACCTTTTTATTATCAGTATTTTCAATTTATTTCCCTCGAGAACGTGTTCTTGAACGTCGACCTGCCTTCCATGCTTTATTTTGAATTTATATGCATGCGGCGTACGTTACCGTGTTCAGCCAAATCGCATTTGTGTTCAATTTTTTTTGTTCGTTTGTTTGTTGCCCTCGCAAAGTCCGGCTTTACTAAGGGATGTAGAGGTTTTTGTTGTAAAATAAACTGTGATGCTTTGGATGAACTGTTTTTCCCAAACGCGTTCCTCACCGTCTCAATGGTGGTTGTTCCAGGCCATTTTCGAACTGACGGCACTTTGCTTTCCAACACAATGTGCGACTACCAGTTTTCCAGCGCTGAAAGGAATCAGCCCTACGGGAAGTTTCACTCGCCCCGCTATCCTTCCAGGTACCCGAAGAACGTCCGATGCACTTATACGTTTCAAGCAAGGTGAGCAAAGTACAAATTAGATATTTAGTATGGAGCACTTTCATAGTGGAAGCCTGATTAAATTGGCCGAGTTTTGATTTATGAATATCCCGAGTGCATTGCCGCCGGGCTTTTTAATAGACTCTTAAATTGATTTATCCAGTGGCCGTTGAGTTTTTATTTGAGTCTCCAGGGGAGCACAAGTCATTTATCCTGATTCCGTTCGAACAGGGCAACATGTGGCCGGAAAATCTGCCAACATTCTCTGGCGATTTAAATTAATTCCGGTTTTTTTGGCATCATGGGGGAAACTACTAGAAGATCGGGGCCAAATGAAAGCTGAAGAAGAATAAGAAGGATGTTTTTCGTTGGTTGAAGAGTTTCACACCCAACTCCAACTTGTAATAATTCATCATGCAATATGCACGATCCTTTTATTACGCTCAGTCTGCTTTTAATTACTCCGGTCTTTCATCTTGCATCTGCCTAGGCGAGGTTGCATTAAATTAGATACAAATGTGTGTTCGCATCAGGCTCAGCCAAGGGAAATAATCCTGCATAACTCTCGACCCTCACGGAAGCGAGTCGAGTACTCATAACTGCGAGCAGAAGCGGCTCTAACTGTATTTTCTTTTAATTTTCAGGCAAAGTGAACGCATACGCATCGTTTTCGAGGAAGTCGCTTTGCAGAAGGGCGATCTCAGGTAAGTCGATTACAGCCCTTTTGTTTATACACGGTGGTTCAAGAGGTTTGAGTGTCTTTCCGCGGGTGAAACGTGCTAAATGTTCTGTTGCTTAGAGTGGGAGTGTTTTTTAACAAATAAGAGCTCGTTCTCAGTGTGTAGTAAGACTTGAGGAAATTATGTTTTTTGTTTGAAAGCAAAAATTTTGAGGCAAAGATTTTACGAGAATGATGCAGTTTTCGGCCATTTTTTTGGCCCCGCACACTGAAAAATCAACGTAAATAACGTGTGAGTTGAAAACCTCTGAACTTAGGAAGACAGTCGACTATAAAAGTTCTGAAAATAATACCAAGATCATACTGAAACCTGAATTTTTCCAACTTGTAAGCGGAGGTCAAAAAATGAGTTTTTTTCGCAAACTCACCAGAACTCAGCAACCCATAACTTCTGATCCAGCGCTTGGTTCGAGTTGGAAATTGCAGGGACTTAAAAAGTAGTAAAAATGTTGTTTAACTCGCAATGAAACCTGAAGTATTCCGACTTTGTTGCCTGACGTCAAAAAATTAACGTTTTTCGTAAGTGCGCTCTGCTTGTGCAAAAATGGATAACGTCCGAATCAGAATAACTGTACGAGTCGAAAATCGCCGAACTTATAGAAAACAATCGACTACAAAATTTCGCAAAATATCGCCAAAGGTTCACTGAAACCAGATTTTTTGCGGCTTTGCAAATGGAAGTAAAAAATTGGGTTTTCTACTAAGGCACGCTTTGCCCTAAAAATCCCTAAGTTGTGATCGAAAACCAAGCATAAGTAAAAAATTCTTCAAAAAATGACGTTGGGTTCAGAAATGCGCGAAAAATTCACTAACTACTATTGTTTTTGGGAACTTTGCAACTGTGGGCCCTAAACTGAAAATTTCCATTGAAGCGAATTATCTGCTTTAAAAAATATTTTCTTTCAATCTAGCAGCTTAAAACTTTCACGGTCTAAAGAAACATACCTGAAACCTCAAATTTCAGACAATGTTGTTCAAATTACACCGCAATTGAAATTTTGGCCAATTTTAAACCGCTTAAAAATTGCTCCTTTTTGACTAAAAGTAAGCAAAAACACGAATTTCTCAAAACATGTAGAATACATTATAGCAAGAAACATTTGAGAAACTCATTCAAACTGCAATCGATCAGATTTTTTTACATCTTTGCAAACGTCGGCGTTAAAATGAAAATTCTCGTTCAAGTGTATTCTCTGAATTAAAAAGCATTCGCTTCTAATCCAACACCAATAGCAGCTTGAAACTTTCGGAATTTCTAGAACACACTTGAGCCTCAAAATCTAGAAAATCTTGTTCAAAGTACACTGCAATTGGAATTTTAGCGACTGTGGAATCGCAAGTTAAATAATAAACAGCTTCACGCACGTGCACGCTCACACCTAAAAATTCGTAACTTCTTATCAAAGAGAATAAACCGCATTGAAGTTTCTCGAACTTATAGAAGACACTCAGGCAAAAAGTTCTGGAAATTTTCTGGAAAGTGTAAATGATCTTAAATTTTTGTAGCTTGGTGAATGTTTGCCTCAAAATGGAGTTTTTGATTCGAGTGCACCCTTTATTTTCAAGGCTCCTCACTTCTATTCTAAGAGGAGTAGCAAATTGAAACTTTCGCAGTTTCTATAGGATATTTTAGCCTAAATATCTTGAAAATTTAGTTCAAATTACATGATAATGGTGATTTTTTCTGCTTGAAATTCAACTTAAATAATGAACGCGTTCACTATATGGCACGCTCCCGCCTAAAAACTGCTGCCTTCTGATTGAAAGGAAACAAAAGCATGAAATTTTCCAAAGATATAGAAGACACTAGAATAAACAATTTCTGAGAAAGTCATTCAAATTGCAAGCGACCACAACTTTTGACAACTTTGCAAATTTGGCCAAAAATGACAAATTCTGTTCAATCTGCTTGAAAAATTCCCTATTTCTGATCCATCCTCAGTAGCCGTTATAAACTTTCCCAGTGTGTAGAGAATACTTGAGCCTCAGACACGAAAAATTATTGTTCAATCCATACCGCAATTGAAAATTTGGGGCATTTTAAAACGCTAATACAACAATGAACGATTTCACGCAAGCACGCGCATTTTTAAAGCACATTTTAACTTCTGTCCACAAACACAGAAAAACATGAGATTTTTCCAACTGACAAAAGACACTAAAATTCAAAAGGACTGAAAATTTTATTAAAATCGCAAATTATTCTAAGTTTTGTCGACTTGGTAAATGTTTGCCTAAAAATTGACGCTTCCATTCAAGTGTATTTATTCTCTTTCTAAAACATCCGCACTGCTGTTACAGAAACAGTAGCAAATCGAAATTTTAACAATGCATATGGGATACTTTACCTTGAAAAGCCTGAAAATTTTGCAGAAATTACATGACAATTGTGATTTTTGCCGGTTTCAAAAAGCAACTGGAATAATGAAAGCGTTCCTTTATAGCACGGTCTCGGCTAAAAATTCCTAACTTCTGATCTAAATCAAGCAAAAACATGAAGTTCTCAAAGGATATAGAATAGACTTGAATAAGAAAAATTTGAGAAACTTATTGAAATTGCAAGAGAGTATAATTTTGGACAACTCTGCAAATGAAAATTTCTGTTCAAGCGCATTTTGTATTGTAAAAATTTCTCACTTCTAGTCCAGCTTTAGTAGCGAACTGAAGCTTTGACACTGTATAAAACACACTTCACTCTCTAAAGACGCAAAATTTCGTTGAAATTACATAACAATTCGAATTTTGGCGAATGTCGAAGCGCAAGTCAAAAAATGAACGCTTTCAAGCAAATACACGCTCGCCCCTAAAAATTCCCAACTTCTAACTCCGGGCAAGCACAAACCTGGAATCCTCGCAACTGATCACAGACTGGCTAACCTTAAAGCGTTAAAAATACAAATCACATTGCAAGAAAGCCTGATTTTTTCCAACTTTCTAAATGCCAATCAAAAAGTTAAAAATACCCTTTTCATGTTCATTTTTTAATCTGAGCCGACTGGCACTTAACCATTATGTGCAGATACTAAACGAACACCCTGTGCCCTTCCACAACAGTGAAACCGTTTAACTCTCCAACCCAAATCTGCATTTTTTTAAATCGCAGATTCCTCCTTCTTTAATTATTTCCGATAGAAGCGCACAAAATCTGGCCTCCTTTAAGTACCCAACAGTAAACTGATTTGCTTTAATCGAAGGGCCAATTTGGGGCAAATCGTCAATACAATCGACTTTATTGTGATCCGATAATTAAAAGTCCACAAAAGGGCGGACAAATCCATCAACTTTGACACGGTAATTACCCGGCAAATACAGACCGAATTGGGTTTTCCTGCAAATATTTGCAGCGTTTTCGGGGCACATATTAAAAATGCCACGTTCCCGAAATACCTGCGAAAAGGGTGTTTGAATATTCAGCCAGCTCGATCATCAATCAATGTAAACCAGCATCTCGACCCGTAGAAAGAGCGATTTTTTTCCCGGAGAAAAAAAGCCGGTTTTGCTGAAATAATGGTCATAATTTGGACCATTTCACTTCCTGGCGCCTGTTCTTTGTAAGTCATTGGCTATGAATAATGTTGCCGGGTTAGGCTAGATAAATTGAGTGAAAATTGATGGGAAATTTCCGGGCGTTTTCAACTACCCTGTTTTGAGTAAGAATGTTGTAAATCTCGGAAAAAACGCCTGGAATAGTTGGCGCGGTTCCAAAGCGAATTGCCCGAATAATTGAAACTAATCGGCCATAAGGACGTGTCTTATTAATGGAAAAGAAGACACCGACAGAAGTAGCATCGTATTTCATTTAATTCGGTTGTTTCGTGGAATTACCGCAGCAAAAAACCGGCAGATAAATCGTCTCACACAGTGGCTGGCCTAATGGGGTTGATTGGGGCAGAAGAAGCAAATTGATCAATTTTTTTTATAAGTTGCACTTGAGTGGAAAAGTTAAATGATTGAAAGTGAATAGTTCGTCCATAAGCTCCTGCTAACGACGATTTAGGAGTTCACGTGCCTTAGCAGACCTGATGTACAAACATAAATTTCGCTCACGCTTCGATGGGCGCATTTAAAGGGGTTTATATCCGGTGTTTTACGTACCTACTTCAATTTTTAATGGGCCCACGAACTAAAGATGCCCATTTGTCAGGAGCCTGCTCATCTACTTCATGGGTCTAATGGCAATATTTATTTCATTGGCCACTTTAGACTTACTGCGGTTTTTATGGGGGGATCAGGGTTGAAATCACTCAGATTTTGGGATTTTGCCTGGTTTTGACCAATTGGTATCTAAGTTTTTTTGACAAGGATTTTTGTGACTGTTTTGTGCAAAATTGATTCTTTTATCCTGAACTGCCAGGAAATGTTGCCGGGTTTTAAGCACGCCTACAACTCTAATTGGGCCTTAAAGTAGCACAATCGGACTAGTTGTAAGCAAAATCGCACTCACATCTACCCCACCTGAATTTTTGGAATTTTTCAAACTTAAGCCTGCAGATCCACAGTTAGTTCTGCCGACAAACTTTCATACAAAAAAATTTGCATTTCAAAGCAGAGCAAACAGCCCATCGAATTTCTGCGACAGAACGAAGCATAATCAAGCGCCACAAAAACAAAAATGTGTCAACATGCAAGCATTTTTGGATTTTTAAAAAACGTCTGGACTTGAGGCTGCAGAACCGCGTTTGATTCCATCGACAAACTTCTAAAAAAAGTAATTTGAAATTTAACATAGATTCAACAGCAAATTGAAATTTCTGTGTCAGCAAGAAGCATAGTGAGGCCAAAAACCAAAAAATCGTCAAGATTGCAGCATGTTTCGATTTTTAAGAAGCATCTGGCCTTGAGTTTGCAGAACCGCTGCTGAGTCCATCAACAAGCTTCGAACAAAAATACATCTGAAATATAACGTAGAGCAAGTGGCTCATTGAAATTTCTCTGTGAGCAAGAACCATAATCAGGCTTCTCAGAAACCAAAATTTGTCTAAATTCAAGTATTTTTTTATTTTTAAGGAGCTTCTGAGCTTGAGCCTGCAAAACCGCGGTTAACTCTATCGACAAACTTTCATAAAAATACATCTGGTATCTAACGCAGAGCCAAAAACTCATCGAAATTTCTACATCATAAAGAAGCTTAATCGAGCTTCACAAGAACAAGAATGCTCTGAACTTCAATTACTTTCTATGTTTAAAAATCTTCTGAATCTGAGCCTGCAGATTTGCGATTAAATGGATCTACAAACTTTCATAAAACTAAATCTGCATTCTAATCCAGAGCAAACTTGAGCCACTTCAACTTTCGGTATTATCAAGGAGCATAATGAGGCTGTACAAAACCAAAAATTCTAGAAAATCCAAGCACTCCGAACTTGAACGTGCACAATGCAGGCGAAATTAGTCCACTGAAGCTTGGCTCACCCCGTAGAATTATTTCCAAGCATCCACAACTCATAAGGACTGATAAAAAGGAGAAACATGATACGACTTTTAACGTTGAACGTGATTTTCCACCCCATACTCATGGAAACGTTCAATGTTTTATTGGCTCCGAATACATTTGCGTAGCGAACGTTTCGAGCCCGACTACATAATAGTCTTAGGTCTTGACGGACGGACAAAAGACCCACTTCAAGTGAAAGAGCAGAGACTTTTTAAATTTACTAAAAAGTCTAGAGCTCTTTGCACATCCGCCAGCCTTCGAGCTAATAGGGGAGTTCATGAAAAAGACATTTCGCGTAATAAATGATGCATGCTTTAATAAATTAGGGGCCTTCGTTCTGGAAGAGGCAACCCGATGATGAAGATATGCAAAGCGAATTAACATTTTTGCCATTCGCTGTTCATGTAAAAAATGTAAACATGGGCACTTGTCACGGCTGATTAATGCGGTTTCATTAGCGACCTCAAGACGGTGCTTTAAAACGGTTTTATCGCGAGATTTAGTAAAAATTTCAACATTGGCATCAGTGAATTTGCTTTAGTAATGGTCAAGGCAACACGAATTTAATCCCAAAAGTACAGCGGAACTATTTTGTATGGAACAAGTGAAAAAAGGGATAAATTGCACCAAGTCACGAAACTGCCGGTATACAAATGAGCATTTGCGAATTTTCACTCATTTTCAGCCCCATGCATTCACTTTGAATAGTTTGTTGCGTGACATTCTCGGTTTAAGCCGAACTCGTGCGAAGTAAGAATGGCAAAAGCTTTTCAGAGTCCAATTTATGAAAATTTCCAGCCCTTTTACAGGAAAAAACCTAGCAATTTGCTCTAGCATTATCATTGTGAGTTAAAAAGATGTTGATGATGGTGATGATAACACGTTATTCCGAATAATTACATCTGCGAGGGCAGATGAAGCTCACAAACGCTCCCTTTTATCGCATCAAACATGCCTGCTCACGCTTAGTTTTACATTTGCTTTGTGCCGAATCTAACTTAATAAATCACATATCCTTGAGCACAACAAAAATCGGTTTGCCTTTCTAACCCCGAATATCAGATAATAATTTCATTCTTACGCCAGACAAAAGGGGCACAACATGAAAAAGGAGGAAGTGTGCGTGGGTTAACAATGTTATCGAACTGAGAGGTTACGCGCTGATTTTTCGCGATATAATTCGCCCTTTTCTTCAAGCCCGATTCAATACTTGCCAGGGTTTTAGCTAGAAAACTTCAACTGATTTAAGAATATTTGTTAACTTGATTTAAAACAGTTGCTCATAATTTATCCTGGTATGATACACATTTGTTTTCGCTTTTAAAGATTTGCTTTTGCTGCGCCTGCAGTGATTTACGTTCTTTTGTATAAAGCAATGAAAATGTGCCCGTCCAACTATTAAGGACTATTTAGTGTTTTTTTGAATAAAAAAATATTTTTGTCCGTGTAGATCCATTATGTTTCTTCAAAAATTTGAGGTAATCGCTAGTTCTGGTTGAAAGCGCAGAAAAATCCACTAAAGAAGAACATTTGTTAAATAAAAAGCAAAGTTGATGTGGAAAAGATGCTCATAATTTATTGTGGTATGACACACATTTGTTTTCGCTTTTAAACATTTGCTCTTGATGCGCCTGCAGTGATTTACGTTCTTTTTTACACAGAACAGATGATGTAGCCATCCAACTTTTAAGGATTATTTAGTGTTTTTGCATAAAAAAAATATTTTTGCCCGTGTAGATCCATTATGCTTCTTCCAAAATTTGAGGTAATCGCTAGTTCTGGTCGAGAGCGCAGAAAAACCCACTAATTATAAACATTTGTTAAATAAAAAGCAAACTTGATGTGGAAAAGATGCTCATAATTTATTGTGGTATGACACACATTTCTTTTCGCTTTTAAACATTTGCTCTTGCTGCGTCTGCTTCTTTATACTGTAGAAACTTCAAGTAACCGCTTGTTCTGGTTTAGAATGCAGATTTATTTTTATGGCAGTTTGTCTGTGCAATTAACCGCGGTTATGCAGGCTCAATCTCAGAAGCCTCTTAAAAATCCAAAAATGCTTCACTCTTGACGAATTTTTGTTTTTCGGAAGCCTCATTATGCTTCTTCTGACAAAGAAATTTCAATTTGCTGTTGGCTCTATGTTAAATTTCAAATGAATTTACAGAAACAGCTTCAATTTTTGGGAATTTTTGTTTTTGTGACACCTGATTATGCTCCTTTATGATGCAAAAATTTTTGCTCTGGTTTGGGATTCAGATTAATTTTTATGAATATTTGTGGGCAAATTTAACCGCGGTTTTGCGCGCTCAAGTTCACAATATTCTTAAAAATCCGCAAATCCTTGGATTTCAGGGAAGTTTTGCTTTCGAGAAGCCTCATGATGCACCGTGATGCGACAGAAATTTCAGGAGGCTGCATGCTGTAGTTTAGCGCCGAGATTTACTTTTGTGGAAGTTTGTAGGTGGAATTAATCACAGATCTGCAGACTCAACTTTGATAAATTCCCACAAATCAGACAGTGCTTGGATTTCAGTTAAATTTCGTTTGCATGACGCTTAACTACGTCCGTTTAAGCCGCTTGACCTCAAACAGCACCAAGGTTTCTTTTTCAAATAGTTTGTACGTTTTTATGAGATTCGCACGCTCAACTTGAGATGCTTCTCAACAATCGCAACAGTCTGGGATTTGCGTGAAAAGTTGGCTGTTTGACGCTCAATGGCTTCACTTTGTTATGCAAAAGGAGCAGAAACTTCCACCTGAAATCTATCGCATAAATCTAAAAAAACTCGACCTAAAAACCATAAAATTGATTAAAAAGCCGAACAAACGCTCATTCTTTTCCCGTGATAAAGGCCTGAAACAAAACCTAAACGACTACATTCGCTTCGAACTGCCTCTTCACTTAAAAAGCGAGTCGATTAAGAGCAACTGAAAAATAATTCCCATTTTGAACTTTTTCCTGGAAAAAACACTCGACTTGACAAAGAAACCTTCAACAGGCAACTTGAGCTGCTCGAACCAGTTTTTTGTAGTCGATCAGACGGGGTTTTCACTGCGGCATCAGCGCATTTTCCTGGCATCTCAACTCACCCGCTTCACTTTCCCTTAAATAGATTGAAAAATCAATTTCGGCCATATCTCTAACGCAGTATTATATTTATTGGAGTTGCTGCTGACCCTTCAAACACAATTTCCCGTCCCTCCAGAATAGAGTCAATAATAAATGCGAATCTCCGTGCGATTTAACCGAGCAAACTTCCTTTTCCATTGTGATCGGAACTCGTTTCCTTTCCATATTTGGAACAGTCGTAGTTTGATGTTTGCATTTTTTATTCGACTGATCAATATCATGCGAAACTGATGTCTTCCCAGGTGTTCTGCCTCGAAAACTGTTTAAATTTCTATGTTTCTTCACCATCTATTAACGTTTTTTTAATTAGTCAATGTTTAACCGAGTTGTCGATCCGATAATTTCCATTGATTCATTGAGTACAGCCAGCGAGCGATCGCAGGCTTTGTGTTTGGAATAAATCAACTAAAATCCCGCTCAGTAATAAAAAATGCAATTATTTATGGCATTTCCATGTTTCTGGATTCAATCGCGCCATAGAAAATGCCCCTAATTGAACGGAAAATGCGTTGTTGGTTCACAAAGCGTGATTGTTTCAGCTGCTTGAACAAGGCGGATCTGATCCGCGTGTACGATGGCCAATCCAGTTCTGATCCAGCCATCAGGATCATTTGCAACGAGGGCAGCGAAGTGGAGATTTTATCAACCGGATCTGAGCTGTTTGTGGAATTTATCGCCAATTCTGAAGCGCCTGGACAAGGCTTCAAGGCGCGCTATCAGTTTCAACTGATGGACGATTCCAACATTTTGGGTAAGCATCTACGAATCACTCAACTATGCTGGATTTTGTGTGAAAATGTGATTGGTTAACATGATGTTAATGGTGAATTGGCCCTGAAAGTGCGCCATCTCTGGCTTATTCCTAACTTCTGGATTTCTGGATCCTTTCCAATCGATAGCACGGTTGTTTTTCCTCGAGCGCCCTCTCGCATCCAGGTCAAATCGCGTTAGTGAATTTATGGAAATTTCGTCATATCGATTATCTGCTGGAAGGGTTGGAAAGTTGGAAAGCTGCGAGTGTTGAGAAGTTTCGAATGTTTGCCTCCAGATCTACTAGTGGAGGCATTTGGAGGAGGCAACATGGAAATTGAGAGTGTAAGTTTATGGACAATCCTTCAGCTATGCCGAGTAAAAGTTGCCAATTGCTGCCTGATGAGGTTGTAATTGGAGATTTATTTCTACTAAAGTTAGTGCCTAAATTGTTCTAGTTTGTTGCGTAAAAGTTGCAAGTTGCTGCTGCTTCGGGTTGATGGTACAGATTTATTTTTATGGAAGCTGATAAGTTGGCTTGGCGGCGTTTTAGAAGAGTCAATTTTGGAAGCTTCTAAAAAAATCAGGAAGAGCGGGGATTTTTGTGACGTTTTGCGAGTTGGACGCTCAATTGGTCTACTTTTTCGTGGAAAATTTGCAAGGTGCTGCTGCTTTGGCTTAAAGGTCCAGATTTATTTGTATAGAAGCATGTAAGTTGCGTTAACGGCGTTTTAGAAAGAGGCATCTAAAAAATCAGGGAGAACGTGGATTTTTGTGAAATTTTGCCGGTTTGAAGCTCAATTGCTCTATTTTACGTGCAAAAGTTGCAAAGTGCTACTGCTTCAGGATTAAAGCGCAAATTAATTTTTATGGAAGGTTATAAGTTGCTTTAACGGCGTTTAAGAAGGCTCAATTTTGAAACTTTCTAAAAATTCAGGGACTACGTGTATTTTCGTGAATTTTCGCAGCTTTTAAGCTCCATTGTTCTGCTTTCTCGTGCAAAAGTGGAAAAATGCTGCTTTTTGGGTTGAAGGTCCAGATTTATTTATCTGGAAACTTCTTTAACGGGGTTTTAAAATACTCAATTTTGAAAGTTTCTAAAAAATGCCGGAGAACATGGATTTTTGTGAAGTTTGGAAGCTCAATTGTTCTACTTTCGCCTGCAAAAGTTGCAATATTCTGCTTCTTTGGATTAAAAGTCCAGATTTATTTTTTCGGAAGCTTCTAAGTTGCCTTAACGACGTTTTAGAAGACTGAATTTTGGAAGTTTCTAAATAATCAGGGAGAACTGGGATTTTTATGAAGTTTTGCAGGTTTACAGCCCAATTATTCTACTTTGCCTTGCAGAAGTTGCAAGATGTTGCTTCTTTGGCTTACAGGTCAAGATTTAATTTTGTGGAAGCATCTAAGTTGCCTGAACGGCATTTTGAAAGACTCAATTTTGGAAGTTTCTAATTAATTAGGGAGAACGGGGATTTTTGTGAAGTTTTGCAGGTTTACAGGTCAATTGTTTTACTTTGCCGTGCAAAAGTTACAAGTTGCTACGTCTTCGACTTAAAAGCTCAGTTTTATTTGTATGTAAGCTTGTAAGTTGCCTCAATGACGCGGCGCTTTGCAAAGCTCAATTTTAGCAGTTTCTAAAAAATCAGAGAGGGCGTGGATTTTTGCGAAATTTTATGATAGTAAAGCTCAACTCCTCTACTTTGTGACGCAAAAGTTCCAGGTTGCTACCGGCTTGAGTTGGAAGTACAGATTTATTTTTATGAAAGTTTGTCAGTCGCACTAATGGCGTGTACGGAGACTCAGGCTTATAAGCTTTTAAAAAATCAGCGAGCTTGTGGATTTCATCGAAGTCTTGTGGAGTTGAAGCTCAATTATTTCGCTTTGTGTTGTTAAAGTTGCGAGTTGCTGCGGGCTTGCGTTGACAGTACAGATTTATTTTTATGAAAGTTGCATTGGCGGCGTGTTGAGAGACTCAAGTTTGGACAGTCTGAGAGAAAATGTGAGTGTTTGATTTTTGGTGTTATTTTGCGGGCTTGAAGCATAATTTTTATGCTTTCTCATGTACATGTTTCAACCTGGTGTTTGCCCGCGTTGCAAGTACAAATTATTTTTTATGGAAGGTTCTAACTTGCCTTGACGGCATGTTGGGAGACTCAAATTTGGGAGCTTCTGAAAAATAAAAGAGTGCGAGAACACGTTGTATTTGGATTTCAATAAACGGTAATTTTGGCTTTTATTGCAGACGACCTTAAATCGAACACACCTGGTAGATTCGTGCTGCCCACAGCAATCGAGCCGAATGTGAGCGAAACACGTAAGTACTGGTAAAATTACCAATTAATTTCGTGGCTTTATTCGATTTACATATGCCTAATGCGAACTGAGTTTAATTGAATTTTATGTATCCGGCAGGCAAATTGATATTATTGTAACATTAGCTGGACCAATTGAATTTGTATGCGAGAATCAACAGTTGAAATCAGCAAATGGACACTAATGATTAGCGGTATTTAATAACTTTCTTTGAGGAAAGCGAGTTTTTGAAGCCAAATTTTTGTGGGTCGATGTCTGAGGATTCGGATTCACATAAATTCACGCATCGCATGCGATTCACATTAGGAACCGCAAATGCATTCAAAGCATAACTTATGCACTACAAAAGCCAATATACTCGTATACTTCATAGAGGATCATTTCTCACTTGTCCCCATTCCGGAACGTCCAGATAAATCATGCCAAATTTTTACTCTATTTTCGGTATATATGTACTGCAATATAATAAATTGCATTTTTACCGCGGATAAAGTTATTCCTTTCCGCAGCACGGTTAAAATATTGTTCCATTTGTTCGTTTCGAATCGTAAATATTAATGCTAAACCGACTTGCAAGCCATGGTGCTATCGGTTTTGGCTGTTTAACGGCTCTTTATATGGAAATCTTCAAGTAATTGAGTATTCTGTTAGTGAGTAGATTTAAGGATTTTATTAGGGGGTTTCTATAGAAAATGAACTCATATGCTCTTGTGGTGCTAAATGGCATTTCTAGAAAGACGTAAAAATTCCTAACCACTGAAGCAGCTCGGTTTGGGAGTTTCAATTATCAAATACTCCGAAATTTTGTAGTTGAATGTCTATTATAAGTGCTGAAAATGTCAAGTTTCGGCTTTCACTGAAGCAAAAGTTATAATTTTTTAGCGTAAGTCGCGTTATTTTTCTAGCCAAGAAGAAATGCTTGTCGTGTTAGAACATTTCAGGTTTCAGCGCGATTTAAACGAAATTTTCAGCACTTTTTCAGCCATTCGTCTTCTATAAGGTCTATGATTTTTTACGTTTACCTACTATGCGATGGATAGAAAGTTATGAATTTTCGGGCAAGAGCGTGCATTTGCGGAAAAGCACATTTTTTTATTTGCTTTTCCGAACTCGTTGACAGCTTATGTTTTAATGCAACTGAAACGAAATTTTGAGAGGTTCTAAAGTCGAATGTTTTCTATAAGTTCTGAAAATTTCCACTCAGTTTATGAGCTGATTGAGGAGATACGAAATTTTGGGTGAGTCTATGAACTTGCGGGAAAACGTTCATTTTTTCACTTATGTTTACAAAATCGGCAAAAATCAGGTTTAAGTTGGACTTAGATGACATTTTCAGCACTTTTGTAGTCGAACATTTTCTGTGAGTCGTAAAATCTAGAAGTTTCACCCTTGGTTGCTTCCGAAGTTATGAATTTTTCTGAAACAGAGTGCATTTGCAAAAAGTGTTGAATTTTTCACTTGCGGTTACCAAATGAGAACAAATCAAATTTCAATGCGATTTGGACTAAATCATCAGGTGTTTTGTTTTCGCAACTTGTTCATCAGCACTGGCAAGTTTCAACTCACTCGATAAGCTACTTCAGAAGTTAGGGATTTTTAGGCAAGAGTGTGCAATTGCGAAAAACCGCGCATTTTGTAAATCGTGTTTAAAAAGTCAGAAAAACTCAGCTTTCACTGCTACGTACGCCAAATGCTGAGCAGTTTGGGAGTTGAATGTCTTTTACAAGTGCGGAAAATTTCAAGGTTTTACAATTACTGAAGCAGAAGTTAAAAATTTTTAGGCAAGAGTGTGCATTTGTGTGAAAACGTTCTTTTTATGACCAGCGCTTGCAAAGTGCTAAATATTCACGTTTTAGCGCGTTTTTGAGCGCGAAAAAGCTTAAATTTTTTGACTTGCGTTTACATAATCAGAAGAAATTAGATTTCAGGGCGATTTAAATATTATCTTCAAGTAATTTAAGGTCAAATATTGGCTATAAGTCTGAAAAACATTAATTTTTTAGTCGCGTTCAAAAAAATCAGGAAAATTCAGGTTTCAGTGTGGCTCAAACAGAATCTTATGGAAGTATGGAGGTAAATATCTGTTAGAGGTGCTGAAAATTCCAACTTCTTTGATGCACTGGTGCCGGAGTTGTGAAGTTTTATGCGAGAGCGCGCACTAGCGTGAAAACGTTTATTTTCTGACTTGGGTTTCCAAAGTTCTACATTTTCAGGTTTTAGCGCTATTTTAACGCAAATTTAAAAACTTTTGAGCTCGATTTTTTTCTATGAGCCCCGAAATGTTGAACTCTCAGCATGAGCTGGTTCCAAAAAATTTTTTGTGCAGAATGTGCATTCGCCGAAAAACGTGTATTTTTTGACTTGCGTTTACAAAATCAGGAGAAAATAGATTTCAGCGCGATTTAATCTAAATTCTGAAGGAATTTGGGATGAAATATTCTTTATAAGCCCTGATAATTTCAACTTGCTTGAGTTCAGAAGTTATGAATTTTTAGTTTAAAAAATCAGGAAGATTCATGTTTCAATGTGACAAAGATTCGCAAGTCGCAAAAAATTGGCAGATTTTAAAAAAGACGCTCATTATGGAGCAAATGCAAAACTTTGCCAGGTTGTTTTTGCTGCATTATAAAACAAAATAAACCTGAACTCAACGTATCCTAATGTTTCCAGAGCAAATAATTTGTGAAAATGGATTTGGGCAACCGAAACTTTGGCGATGTAAAGCACCTATTTTAGGCTCAGGCTTTTGAACTAAGCACATTTTTAACAGTTTGTTGAGTTCAAGAGATGCATAAATGTTCCCATTCATCTAGACAGGTGAGCTCTTGTGCGCTTCTTCTGGCTGCACGTGTTTAATAAAAGTTGGACGCTTATTCTGGATATTAATGGCAGTATTTGCAGTTTTTCTCAAAAAAAACCTGCAGTTAATTCCTCTTGAACACGATAGCTGAGTAAAAACTGGCAATTTTCTAAGTGCCCCTAATGGGATTATTCCTCTCTGCCATCCTGCGGACTACTGTATGATAAACTGACTGAGTTCTCAAAGGTTTTTTAAGTATGGTCCAAGAAAATTAAACAGGTTCAACTGCTAAGTCATTAAATGTCTGAAAAGAGTTCATTTCATTGCTATTGCATTGAGTTCAGCTAATCTCCCGATTTTTTGGCTGGAATTCGACAACCACATTACAAACGCTTCCTCATTTATTCAAGCCTAATAAAGTCGCCCTCAGTTAATCAAGCAGAAAACTGTTTAAAAATCCCATTGTTTGGCTGTTGAGTTTTTTATGTTTGGTCATGTTTGTAGGACAGTGTGATCGAAAGAGCCACCAATAAAGTCGATGGCCTTCGGTGGTTTCACTAAAAGCCCTTGCCTGCCATGAACAGAATTCGATTTATGTAACTATCTACTCAATAAAGAATACTATTTGAGAACGGAAGCGAATTTTATCAAAGTGCCTCCTCTTCCCTATTAGGTTGGAAATATTTTCGCTTTAGCGGTTCTGAAATAGAAATCCCCCAGCGACGATTAGAAAATAAATTGCATTCTACGGTAATCAGTTCGGGATTTAGCGACTTTTTTAATTCTTCGCTTTGTCTTTAGGTGTGCATTTTCCTCTCTGGTCTCTTTTCTTTTAAGAGAGAGTCTCTTTTCTGTTCATTCTTTCGGTTGCTTAGTTTTTCGGTTTGTTTTGCGCCACTCTGATGTGAACGCAGGCGAAAATGGGAACGCAGTCAGTTGTTGTAATTGATTTTTTATTTTTTAATAAATCGCTTTCGATGATGAAAAAATTCGACACTTTTTAACGTTTTAATATTGTCTTTTTGCCTCAATAAAACCCTCCAAATTAGGGCGTTTTGGGGGGGTTAAATGGCGAGAAATGGGTAAAAATACACTCTTCCTCAAGCTGAAACTGACTGAAACCGATGTCTGAACATCATTGAAATAATCACAATTTTTTTTAAGTCAGACAACCCATTAAAGTGCTTTCAGGTGTTCATCTCCAGATTTGCCGGCCTTTTCACGCACATTTCTAATCGCGACTTTTCCGCCGATTTCCCCGCTTTTCTCAATTCTTTTCTCGCTGAACTGCTAAATGATGAACCGAGCCAGTGAGTTTCAGTGACTTAAGCCATCCAGCCGGGCACAAGTATGGTCGCAACAGTAAAATCCTCAATTAGAATTTCATGAGGCTGAAACACACATATTCCTGCCGGTCTGCATTTAAATTATGCAGGCCCAAGCTGCAACCCCTCCTGAAATATGCAAACCTGATTTAGTCCGCTCCATTTTGAGTGTGCTCGGCCTCATTTAGGATTTGAGGCGGCAACAGTGCTGGAGAATTTTGAATAATTAATTAATAATGCGAACGACAAGGGTTGCGAGCTTGATGATCAAGTTAATTTTGCCCTCATAATTGACTCGCGGCAGGAATCCGGGTTTATTGCGCCAAACGCCATCACATTACAAAGGAATAACAAACGAGTTTGCGATTGCTWGRAATTSKTCGCGTTTTCCSGACGTTTCGCCAGCACGAGTGCCAAACATTTGCAGGATGTGCAACTCTGAGCGCACCACCGCTAATGATTCGTCTAAGTCGCACGRAAACCTGATTGTATTCRCCCGAAAATTTATCATTTCTRAACCAGTGCACGATGCAAGTTGAAAATATCWGAACTTTTAGAAAACKTTTGGCTGCAAATTTCCTAGYRATTTCGTGTAAGSCGCAGTGAAGCCTGAARTTTCTTAACTTTTTAAACGCRAATGCACGCTCCTTYCCAAAAATSYRTTACTTCAGAAYCAGCAYCTAGAGTGAGTTGAAAATTTCTGAGCTTGTAGAAGACATTCGACGACAAAAGTCCTGAAAATTTGTTTAAAGTCAAGCTGAAGCCTGAATGTGTGTGCGAGCTGAAAATATCGGAGCGTTTAGGCAAGATTCAGGAAAGACTAAAGATCCTGGAAATTTGCTTTATACCGCACTGGAAGCTGCTATTTCCCGAGTT